GAATGGCTTTCCCTGCTCTGAGGTGGTGTCACAATGGACTGTGGATTTGGCAGTTAGGTTGGCAACTGTGTTTCAGGCAAACTTAACCAATAAAACAAAAACAACCCCAACACCTTTGGATTTGGAAATGGATACCTTGAAGTAAGCCTAGTTTTATTAGTATTAGGAGTAACAGACATTTATATAAAATCTTAAAGTTTGCAAACAGCCCTTCAAAGGAGAGACTATGGGTGTTATAATCCCCTTTTTACATATAAGCAAATGTTATTCTGAACTTGGAAAACACCAGCAAATATGAATAGTTCTCTTTACAAAGAATAGGGAAAAGTACATGAGACAATGAATCTCCATTATGAACAGGGCTTTTTTTTTTTAATATGACTTTCAGTATGTTAGTTCCAAAGCTGTTCCACTTAAGTTTCCTTCTGAACTTCTGTTTTGTGCACTTTAAAAAAATGCTTCACTAATGCTCTTATTTTTTTGCACTATCATTTACCCTCATCTCTCCTAGCATTCACAAATTTTTTTCTTTTGCTCGTTTTGGTGAGGCAATCAGGGTTAAGTGACTTGCCCAGGGTGTTTGAGGCTGGATTTGAACTCAGGTCCTCCTGACTCCAAGGCCAGAGCTCTTTGCACTGCGCCACCTAGCTGCTCCTTAAAATTGGCTACCACTCACAAATTTAAAAAAACAAAAACAAAACAATCCTCCCTTGCAACCAAGCAAAATAACCCCCAGTATTGGCTACGTCTGAAAATGTGTATCTTACTAGAGGCAAGATTTGAATCCAGGTCTTTCTGACTCCAGGTTCAATAATCTATCGACTACTTAAAAATGCCTCCCAGTATAAATATAGCAATGCCACATACTGGTAATTATTTTAGGGATCTTTTGCTTCTGTTGTATTTTCCCCCCATGTTCTCTGGTCAGGACAACACAGAATTCCTGGGTACATGAAATGTCTTTCATCTGCAGTTCCAGCATTTGGTCTGAATCGACTCCTTGTCTGTCAATTGCATCCATTTTGGAATCAAGATTAATAACCTGCTTGGTCAGTTTTGTCTATCCTGGAAGCTGGAGTTTTTGTTTTGATTGTGTCCTGTCATTCCTTTCATCAGTTTTCTCTAAATGCTCCAGGGGTGAGGTCAGGGGTTGCTCTAGTGACAGGGAGAAATATGGGGTGGAGATCTGACTTTGATCTCTTTTTCATTTTCTACCCTTCTTTTTCAGGGATTTCCCTTCTCAAGAAAGGGGTCCTTGGTTGTGGGGCAAGTTGGGCAAAGCTGTCACCAGCTGAGAGGTAAGATAGAGTATCTTATAGCACAGACACTGACAGGAAGGACACAGTTTCCAATTGTGGTACCTGTCAGTGGCCTGGGGGCACCTTGGCCTCTGGAAAGTCAGTCTACTGCTGCTGCAGCATTCCCTATAACTAGGCTGTTAGTAAGTTGCTTGACTAGGTGGACCTAGGGCTCTGTCCCTCTGTGGTGAGTATGATTCAACAGGTAACATCAAAGTCTTCTAAATCTACAGGACTCTCTCACAATCATTCAGTCAGTCAATAAGAAATTATTAAATGTTAACTGTGTCCAAGGCACTGTGGCAAGGTCTGGGGATAGAAAGTCAAAAACACAGTCCCTTCTCCCTTGGAAGTCAATCTAAGGTGGGAGGCACAATATACAAACAACTGGGCTATGAGGGGTCAAGTCATTTAATTTTTCTTGGCCTCAGTTTCTTATCTGTAAAATGAGGGGGTTGGACTAGCTGGCCTCCTTGGTCTCTTTGAACTCTAAATGGATGATCCTATGATCTGTGTGTGGCCTTAGGCAAATCATCTAGCCTCCCTGGGCCTCAATCTCCTTATTTTTAAAATGAAGAGGTTGAGATCTCTCCCAGCTCCATATTTCTGTTGCTATGATCTTTCCTATCCTAGAGGAACTAATCAGTAAATCAACATGTATTTATTCAATCAATCAATAATCAACCAATGAGTCTTTATCAAACACCTCCTATGTGCTAGGCATACAGGTACAAAGAATGAAGTAACCTCTACTCATGATGAGCCTACATTCTAATGAGGGAAACCAGTGCATATAAAAACAATATACAGAATAAGTGTAAAGTTAATACAAACTTTATCTATGCCATTGGTTATATATATATCAGTATTAGGGTTTTTACCTTTTTTATGTCATAGACCCCATTGTCAATTGGGTGAAGCCAATAGACTACTTCTCAGAATAATGTTTTTAAATGCAACATACAAGGAATTACAAAAGAAAACCAATTTTATATTGAAATTGTTGTTGTTCAGTCATTTTCATTTGTGTCCAGGTCTTCATGACCTCATTTGGGGTTTTCTTGGCCAAGGATACTTGAGTGGTTTACCACTTCTCTAGCTCATTTGAAACTGAAGCAAACATGGTTAAGTGACTTTCCCAAGTCACATAACCAATAAGTGTCCAAGGGGAGTATAGGGTGTATTCAGGGAAGACTAGTACCTCTGATGTGAGGGCTGCTAAGCCTTTTTCAGGGCTGCTTTCCATCTTCGGTGACCACCTGATTCACTCAACTTTCATCTCTGGCTCCAAGAAGCTGTAGCATGCACAATGGTCACACTGTGGTAAACCATTTCAGCAGACAGGCTAAATCAGGTTAAAGGTAACACAGGGGTCTCAAACCCTTCAGTGAGGTAGAGGGGTGTATACTTCAAGTATGTGAAGATTTCCCACAGCGAAATGGGTGGATGAAAACAGGATTCAGCAGCCCCCTGGGAGTCTGAGCAGCCTTTTTAAAGGACCACAGCGTTCATCTCCTGGTGTGAGGAAGGGCATAGAAAAAGTGCCCTAAAATTGTCTATTTCACCCAACACTGGCCTACTTACCACAGCAGGTGGGAATCCCACTCTGAACTCAAAACCAAAAAAATGTATAAAAAGTCTTTTGAAGATGATTCTACTCAGCATTGGTATGTGGAATGTGTGCACAATTACAGACAACAAGAAATCTAGTAGACCTGAAAGATGAACAGCTCTTGTTGCAGGAGAACTCAGCAGATATTGCATCTAAATAGTAACATTCAGTGAAACAAGGCTGGCAAATGAAGGCCAGATTACCTAAGTTAGAGCTAGATAGACATTTTTTCTAGAGTAGATGAAGTGATGGGGAGTGCCATGAGGCTGGCATAGATTTTACTATCAAAACTAACCTAACCAACAAGCTTGTATGCCTACCAAAAGGAGTGAACAACAGACTCATGACAATGTGATTTCCACTCGCAGTAAAGCACCATGTCACCATCATCAGTGCCTATGTTTCCACCATGACAAACCCTGATGATGTCAAAGAAAAATGTTATGAAGACCTGGAGACCCTCATCAAATGAGGACAAGCTTATAATTCTGGGTGACTTTAATGCAAGAGTAGGCACAAACTACCCAGACATGTCAGGGAGTCCTTGGAAAGAATAGAGTTCAAAACAGCAATAGCAATGGTCACTTACTTAAGATTTGTGCATCTCATGACCTCATCACCAACACTGTTTTCTGTTATCTAAATGCAATACAACTTTAGGAATGCTGACCTCATTGTTGTATATCTGTGAAACTTTGAGAGTATACCAGGCCATGCTAGGAAACTGGATTGCTTCCTTTTGAATTGTCTTAGAAAGATTCTGAAGATCACCTGGCAAGAAAAGGTACTGGACACTGAGGTCCCTTCTCAAGCTAAATTGCCACACATTCAAACTCTACTGCAGAGAGTGCAACTCCAATGGGTTGGCCATGATGGCTGAATGCCAAACTTATGTTTGCCTAAAAGACTATTTTATGGAGAATTCATACAAGGCAGGTGCTCACATGATGGTCAGAAGAAGCTATACGAGGGCACTCTCTAGGTCTCTCTGAAGAACTTTGGAATGGCTTGCATGCCATGGGAGACACTGGCAAATGACTACCTAGCATGTTGTGTCCACATCAAAGAAGGTATGTGATCTATGAGTTAAGCAGAATTTTAGTAGCTCTAAAGAAGATGAAATACACAAATTTGGACATATCGCCACTCCAAATGTTCATATGAACTATTTGTGCCCTATGGTAGAGCTTTCTCACCTCCTATTGGTCTGATCAGCCATAGCAGGTCACACTGTATCTTGACTCCAACACAGTGATGTCATTTTGTTCCTCTTCCAGAATGAAGGATAACAACCAACCAAAGTGTCTGAGGCCAAATTTGAACTCAGGAAGATGAGGCTTCCTGACATCAGGACCAACAGTCTATCCACTTTGCCCCCTATATTTTGAAATAGTTATCAAAATGTTTAAAAATAAATTGCAGGGACTGGTAGTTAGGAACCCCTGATTGATATCTGTTTCTACACAGAGAGTAGTTAAATGCAAGGGAGTTTGAGGAGTCACACTAGAAGGTGGGAGTGGGGACCAAGTAGGACCAGCAAAGGCTTCCTCCAGTGCAAAGGCACAATGAGGGGTAACGGAGTCTTTCCAATGACCTAGCTGGTTCTCCCCAACATCTTGACTAATCAGTACCTGGTGGGAAACATTTTTACCAGGAAGTACTCAGCCCCAGGACCACAGCACCAGTCAGCCACTTAAGGAGTCTAGCGTGCAATCTGGCAGCAGGCTGGTTGGTTCCTGTGTCTGCTGCAAACCACAGCCTCTGCTAGGACACTCCTGCAGACCATACGAAACACTTCACAACCAGCTACATTAAGTCCATTTCTAAACCTGCTCGAAGTCTTCAGCATGGGCTTCCCCACGGGCTCTAAGTGAACTTGGGGAGAAGCTGGAGTTACCCAACACCCAAGCTACCCCTCCCTCCACCTGTTACACAGCGGAGCCCAAGTCCCGCCCCTTTCTGGCCCCAGCCAACCGGCAGGCCCCGGGGGCGGACCACGTGCCGAGCGGGAGGCTCGATGGGGGCGGGGCGGCCACAGCTCGAGGGCAGGGGGCGGGGAGCCGGGGCAGCCTCCTCAGTCGGTTGTGGAGGCGGCGGGAACGGCCACTGCTGCTCAGCTGGAACCTGCTCAGGGAGAGCGGACTCGCCTCCGTGGGCGGTGGGCTACGGGACACATCCACGACCCCGGAGGACCTCGGTGTTCGCCTTGCGAACCCGCCGCTCCACCGGTGAGTGTAGCCGGGTCGGCCTTCCCCAGCCGCGGCCGTGGGGGAGGTGGAGGCGCGCAGGGAGCGGGCCCCATCCAGCCCCTTCCCCTCAGCTCCCATCCCCCAGGCTCGGGGTCCCTGGCAGAGCGAGGGTGGTGGCCCCGGGGTGAGCTATGAGGGCCTCCGCGGAGTCCTCGGGGAGCTCGTCCTCGGCTCGGCCCCCTGCGGAGCTTCCCGGGACGGGCCGGGGCAGTCGGTGCGGGACCAGGTGGCCGTGGAGGCGACATCGGCCGCCGCTCCGGGCACAGCCGGCCGCCCTCTCCTCCCTCAGCCTCAACCTTCTGGGCCCGAGGCTGGGCGATCCCCCCACCCCGGGCGTCCCCGGGACCCTCGGCCGGGAGTGTCTCCTGCCCGCCGCTGCTCCGGCTCTCTCTGGTTCGGAAGGAGAAGTCGGGGCCCCAGCGCCCGCTGCGGGGCTTGGGGGGTTGGGGAGGGACTGGGTGGCTCTGGCAGGACTCCGTCGGGCAAACCCATCGGATGACCGTGGAGCCTCGTGCACCCCTGCTTATCTTTCCTCGCCCGTTTCGTTTCCTGGATGTGGAAGTGACCTGGAACCCCTGCCCCAGCCCCGGGGGCCGCCTGTTACCTGTCCAGTCCGGGGCGGGAGCGGCGTCTGCAGCACTCCCTTTCCTTCATCCCTTTCTCTCCCTTCTCCCTCCTTCCCTCCCCTTTCTCTCCTTTCCTTACTTTTTCCTTTCTCTCCTTCCCTCCCTTTTCCTTTTTCCCCTCCTTCCTCTCTTCCTTCCCCCTCACCTCCCTTTCTGCCCATCCTTCCCCTTCTCCTTGCTTATCCCCTTCCTTTCCTCCCTTCTTCCTTTCTTCCGCTTCCCCTTCTTCTTTTCTTCTTTCCCTTTTCCCTCTCTTCCTTCCCTCCTTCCTTCCTTCTTTACCTCCTTCTCCCTTACACCTTCCTTCCTACTTTCCTTTCCTCTTTCTTGCCTATCTCTCTCCCTCCCTTCTCCTTTCTTTCCTTTCTCTCCCCCCTCCTTTCCCCCTCCTTCCCTGTCCCCCCCTTCCCCCCCCCCCCCCCCCCCCCCGAGCCCCCCCCTCCCCCGGCCCTCCTGTTTCTGTTTCCTGAAGCCCCCTTGCTGCCCTCCTAGCTCCTTCCTGGGCTGCAGAATGAGCTCTATCGCAGCTTGGCCGCGGCTCTGAGGGAGGCGGGAGCCCCTGGCCACCCACCCACCGGCCTGCTTGTTAGAAATTGGAGAGATTCCAAATTAGCGGGAGCCGTGGGCGGGTCCCAGAGGCTTCCTCCCGGGAAAAACGTGAGCAGCTCCCACCGCCCTGCCGGGAGTGGTGGGTGGTGGGGTACGGGAGAGCCCAACTCTGCTTTGAAAATCGTTTTCGAAGAGCCGGTTTGGTCATGGTGAACTGAAGGGTCACTTTGGCGTGCTCCCTACCCTGGACCTAAACGTTTTGGGGCAGTGCATTTTGGATTGTTTTATGTTTGGGAGGAAGTAGGGTGAGAAAGACAGCTAGAGATGGGCCTCCCCCCAAAAAGACTTTTAAGACTATCTTGCGTATCTCGTGTAGTAAGAATCCCCTACGTCGTCGCAAAGGTGTGCTGAAAGAGCAGATTTCTGAAATGACAGGCAAATTGTTTTCCTTGTTTTTCCTGAGGAAGAAATATTGAGGTGGGAGTGTGAAGATGTCGATATTGGGCCATGTTACAACTTCGGTTGAATAGTGCATTTCTTAAATTGGAAATAATTCCATCCTAAAGTACCCGGGGTTAGGTGGTTTTTTTTTTTTTTGTTGGTTTTTTTTGGTGGGGAGGGGAGGGTAGAAATAGTGGTGACCCAAGCCATACATAGCTAGACAGCTGTAGGAAAGGATCAGAGCTGAAAAGGACTTGAGACTGTCTGTTTAGTTTTACTGGGGGTGAAGGTGGGGCACTGAGGAGTTTAAGTGATTTACATAAAATCTTATCATACTCTTGGTATCAAAATCAGGATTTGGATCATTGGATCATAGAACCTAGTGTAGTTTCCAGAGCACTGGATTTGGAGAGTGCGGGCCTAGGTTCAAACCTTGGCTTTCTGTGACTACTGTCTGTTTGAGTGACCTTTGTTGAGTCAGTCTCCCCTGGCCCCACCTTAGTTTTCTCCTCTGAGAAAGTGAGTAGGCTGCGCTGAAGTCTCTTCTAGCTCAAAATCCTACAATTGCAATTCTGTAATAAAGCATTTTTGCATCTGTACTACATTTTTGATATCTGCATTCAATCAATCGACAAACATTCAGGAAGCACTTACTTCTGTGCCCAGGCACTTTGCTAAACTGGGGGTACCAAGAAAGGCAAAAAGAGTCTCAGCCCTCTAGGAGCATGCATTCTAATGAGGGAGACAGCATGTAAATAGAGAAATGTTTGATTTAGAAGTCAAAGCATTACAGAAAAGGCAGTAGTAATATTTTGGTTAGCTATAGGGATAGGGGGTGAAAAGGGTTCCATTCAAATTTAGGGAGAGTTGCACAAATGTTTTTTGTTAAGTTGTCTGTACAGTTCAAGCTCTGAAAGTGCTGGCTACCATTTCTGTATTTTTTAAATATAATTTTATGTAATTTGTATAATTTACAAATACTTTGAAGTGATAGAAGAGTTAGAATAAAATTATGTACCAGTTTAACATGGAAATATTTTTATAATTGTAATTTCCTGTGGAAACTCAATTTTCAGTTAAGAAACTATGCCTGTATGAATATTCATATAGGAAAGTATATCAAGTGCCAAGTTTTTCAGTCTCCATCTTAGTTTGCTGTTAAGGCCAGGTACCAGGAGAAAGCTGGACTGAATACCATATCTGACATTAGTAACTGTGACCCCAGGGCAGTAAGTCCTGCTATGTACCAGGCATTATCCTAAATCCAGGGAATAGAAAGAGAAAAGTGAAATTGTCCTTGCCCTGGAGGAGATTCTGTTCTAATGGGGGAGACAACCTATACATGTATGAGTATTTACAGGATGTGGACAGAATGAATCCAAGGTAGATTAGGGAAGGAGGGCACCACCATTGAGGGCATTAGGAAAGACCTCACGTAGAGGGTAGCATTTCAGCAGAGCTTTGAAAGATAGCAGTGCTTCCAAGAGGTGGAGGTTAGGAGGGAGAATATTTCAGGCCTGGGGAACCACCAGGGCAACAGCACCAGAAATGGAGGGCTGTTTGAACAACAATCAGAAGGCCTGCTTGGCTTGGAGTAGAGGAGTGACATGGTTAGACCTGAGCTTTAGGAAAAGCACTTTGGTGGCTGTGTGGAAGATGGATGAGAGACTTGAGGCAGGAAGACCAAAGAGGAGGTGAGAGGTGATGAGAACTTGACCTAGAGTAGTGAGAAGGGGAGGTTAGGCCATAGAGATGTGATAGGAACAAGATTTGGCAACTGATGGAATTACATAGGGTGAAGGAAAGAGGATTAGGTCCAATTCCCTTTTCAGTTTGGGCTCTATGTTGGATTATCTACATCAGAGTGGGAAATAGCTTTCATGAGCATACCTCTCCCACTTTTATTCCTTGCCCAATGTTTATTGTCCAGGAACCTTTAAATAGGGTTATTTTCTTTTGAGGAACTTTCAGTGATTTTGATGAATGAATGGTAAAACTTTCTTACTTGGAGCTGTGCTAAATGCTGGAGATAAAAATGCAGACAAAGCAGAAGGTCCTGCACTCAAGGAGTTTACCTTCCAATGGAGGGAAGCCATCCCCTAAAGAGAGCCTGAAAACTGAGAGTGGTGTTTGAGTATTCCTAGTTTAGAAGTGACCAGCAAGTGGCTGAACTGGTGTAGAGCCCAGCATCACAGCTCTAGAATACAAGGCTCTGAAAGGAGAATGAGGATGATGGCCAGTGCTACAATGGCCTTGATTCAGGTAGAGATCACTAGAAAGATGTTGTACACAAAAGAAGAGTTTGCATAGAGAGTCATTGTTATTATTGTGCTCTCAATTGCCTTTTTTGGATATTAATAAGGCATGAGATTTTTCTCATGTTTTTGGTATCTTTTTCAGACACCTCGTATTTCCTGGACACCCTCAAACTTGTGTTGCCTCTAGCACAAATCTCTTGTCTATTTACTGGTCCAACTGTGGTTGCATTTCTCATCTTTATTCTCTTTATGGGCATTTCTTTCTCCCAATAAGCATATCTGATATTGTGTCCCTAGGGTCTAAGTGTGAGAGTTAACAGTGATTTTGATAGAGAAAACTATTTTATTGATTTTTACCAAATTAAGCAAATTAATGCTCCCATAAAATTTAGACAAATTTTATTGGAACACCTTGCATGATTTTCATTTTATAATATAGATCCAAAATAAAGATTCTTCATTTTGGAAAAATGAAGTCTAAAGGAAGGAATGTGATATATTTTTTATTTGGGCAATATAGAGTGAACATGAATACACTCACCAATTTAGGCAGTAGTATATTTAAGGGCATTCCTCAGCTTGAAAGGGGGTAAACTTCAGGATAAACACATTTTACTGTAGATAAACTTAGAGAACTTTCTACCCCACGAAGTTGTATAGGCTAAAGATAAAAATGTTCAAGAGCAATTTAAACAAATTGATTACTTACAGATAGCTATTATGGAAAAAAATAGGGTTACTTTAAAGGTCATCATTGAAGCTTGAAGTGATGCCCTGAAGTGCACCCATGCCTTCTTCCAAAATATTTTCTCATTTTCAGAAATAAAATGCTGAAACTTAAATAGCATTTATCATGTACCCATGTACACATTGCACCTAGTAATTGTCTTCTTTTCTCTTTAAGGATTTCCAGTTTTCTGTTACCAGATGGAAATTAGCTGAAAGGATTTCAGAAGAACTGTAACAATTGGGATGTTGCGGCAGAATGATGGAAACAACAAGCATTGTTTATCATTTGCCTGATTCTCTCTATGAAATCTTTTTGCTCTTCCTAATCCTGGAAACTGGGGAATGGGGCATTGTACCAAGAGCAACTCTTTGAGCAGCATCAATTCCAGCCCAAATTGCTGCAACAGCCCCGTTATTGATCCAGAGTATATGAAGCAGTTGGTCAGTGATGTCAGGAGGTTTGCAGAGTTGTTGCTCTGTTTGAAAGAAGCTTTCCTCTCAGAAGGTGTGTACCAGCTATTTTGTCTTAACATCCTAGGAATAGAAAACCAAATCTGTGCAACTAGTTATACTTACATGTATCTGGGGCTGTTAGTAACAGAATTTCACTTCAGTTACTGACTTTCTGGTGTATTATTTTTTTTTAACATGATTGATGTTTATATGAAGTGATAGTTGTGACTTTTGGGTGCTGTCCTTCCTGACTGAGGCACAGTGTGATCTCTTTCCCAATTGTACCTAATTTAACACATAGCTGATAGCTGGTGAATCTAAGCAAGCCGGAAGAGAACAGTAGTCAGCCTTCAGATCTTCCAGTTTGAGACAGAGAAAATTTGAGGGCTTTGCAGTTTAACCTTTTTGAGTTAATCTTAACTCAATTCTTTGGTCTTTAATAGAATACTGTTTTTATAATTCAAAAGTGCATTATTGACATTTTAGCTTAGATTCAGTTTCCCATAGTGTTAAAAGTTCTCCAAGATCATCAAATTTGAATTGCTTTCTTCTTCCCAAATTAGGTTTATTGCAGTTAAATTCTTAAGTAGTCTATTATATCAAGGTACAATCATAGGTTTCAGTGTTTTCCACAGAAGGATAGAAATGACTCTTAAGATTCAACCCAGGAAATTTGTCTTGGGGGAATATTAATATCTTCCTCTGTTAAAGATTTTTCAGGGAAAATATACTCCTATAAAAAATCAGCAAGCAGTTATCAGGTCCCTAGAATGTGCTAGGCATTGCTATGGAGCAAAAATACAAATATAAAAATGAAACCGTTGCAGCTCTCAAAGCAGCTTACTCTTCATCTGCAAAGGCACATAACATAAAAAGTTTACAAATGTAGATAATATAATTTTCCAGAAATAGCACTGTGAACTGGGGAATCAGGAAAAGCTTCAAGCAGAACGTGTTGTTTAGCAGAGCACTAAAAGAAACAAAAGGTTCTAAAAGCCAGAGGTGAGGAGGGTGATCCTTCCAGGCATGGGGAGAGCCAGCTGAATGGCATGGGGATGGAATGTTATATGTGAGGAACAGCAGGAAGGTCAGTTTGACTGGACTGTAGAGTATAGTAATGGGGAGGCTAGAAGGGAATGGCAGGAGCTTGGTTGTACACGGGGCTTTCAAAGACAAATGGGCATTTTCATCTCCTCCTACAGGCAATAGGGAGCCACTGAAGTCAGAGAATAGAGGAGGGACATGGTCAGATGTGTTCTTTAAGAAAATCACCTCAGCAGCTGTGTAGACAATGAATTAGAGTAAAAAAAGACTTGAGGAAGGAGGCCATTTAGAAGGTCCTTAGGGACAGACCAGGTGAGAGATGTTGACGACCTGAATTAGGGAGGTGGGCCTGAGAGGAGATAGAAGAGGATGGCTATGAGAGATTGTGGGATGAGAATAGACGAGATTTGGCAAATGATTGGATATGTGGGATGAGCAGAGTAAGGAGTCAAGGACAGTGCTGAGGTTGTGACTCTGAGAAACATGGTAGCTTCAGCAGAAAGAGGGGTAGTTTTGTGAGGAAACAGAATGTGATATAGTGGATAGGATGGTGGACTTGAGTTCAGGACAACTTGAGTTCAGCTCCAACCTCATATTCTTACTACCTATGTGACGTTGAGCATGCCACTTACCTTCCGAAGAATAGCTTATTCAACTGTAAAATGAGGTTAAAATAATTTAAATTTATGATCCTGTGTTTCCTGAATTCTATTTTGTGCCTTTTGAATTTGAGATGTCGATGGGACATCTGGTTTAGAATGATTTAACAGATGAGGAAACTGAGGCAAACAAGGTTAAGTGACTTGCCCAGGGACACACAGTTAGGAAGTGATTTAGGTTTGTTTTGACCTCAGGTCCTCCTGACTCTAGGCCTGGAGCTCTTTCTGGTATACCACCTAGCTGCCCAGTTATCTACACAGGGATGATAACTGAACCCTTAAGAATTAATCAAGTCAACAAGCGAAAGATTGTAAAGAGAGAATAGATGGCCCTGAAGAGGGCCATGGAGTCACAGCCACACTTAGGGGTCATAAAGTGGGGCATTGAATCATTGTTGGTGACTGTGAGGGTACATTCAGAGAGGTAGGAGGATAACCAGGGCATGGCAGTGTCACTAAAATCAGGAGGAAAGGGTGGTCACCAGCCTCAGATGCCATGGGATGAAGATGGAGAAAGGTGGTCAGATGTGACAATTAAGGCTGGATCTCTAGCTGATAAATTACTCTTAGATTTTTGATTGGGTGATAAATCTGGGGGAGATGAGCCTCAGAGGAAGAAGCCTTGCTGAGTGATGGGGTCAGAGGGAAAACCTTGAAGGCACAAGAAGTGTTCCTCCAGGACAAGGGTGGCCATGGATGCCGTGTTTTATGAGAGGAGCAGGATCTCTGAGAGTGCTGGAAAGAGGGAGGAGGAGGGATGAAGAAAGTGGGACTTATGTCCGTTGTCTCATTTTATGTGTAGATAGTAAATTCTCCTGAAATGAGGGACTAAATCTGAACCATGTGATTAACTAATGACTTGCCACTTAACTCACCCTTACACTTTTTAATTCTTCTTTTGCCCCAAGTTTAGTGATGATGAAAACTAAAACTAAATGACATGAACTTGATAACTTAAAACAAACGCAGAGGGCTTGGCTTTTAACTAATTTATTTCTTCACTTTGCATGGTATGAGAGTAGAGTGAGGATCTCAGAGGACCATAGATTTAAAGTTGGAAGGGATCTTTAAAGGGCATGTCAGCCAACTCTCTGGTTTTATATATTAGTTGTTATTGTTGTTTGTCCTTCATTCTGGAAGAGGACCAAAACATAGATTAGTAACTGAGGCCCAGTTTGAGTGACTTGTCCAGAGTCACACAGTAAACAGCAGAAATGGAATTTGAACCCAGGTTCTCGGACTCCAAATCCAGTGCCTCTTCTGCTCTACTACACTTTTAGAACATTTACCAAAAAGTGATAAAAACCAAACTACTTGAGGTAGTAAAATGTTAAAAGATTCTTTATGGATGTGATTTGTTGATACAGACATTTGTTTTTTTGAGTTTTTGTTTTTGTTTTTGTTTTTGTTTTTTTTTGGAATAAACCAGGTGTGGGGAACCTGTGGCCTTGAGGCCACATGTGCCCTCTAGATTTTCAAGTTCAGCCCTTTGACTGAATCCAAATGTCACAGAACAAAATGATTTGTTCTGTGATGTTTGGATTCAAAGGGCTGCGCCTGAGGACCGAGAGGTTCCCAACCCCTGGAATAAACCATCTGCAGAGAAGTTTATCTTGTGTTGATGCTTTTGCAAAAGGAGTACAAGATAGATGTTAACTTTCCCATTGTTTTTTTTAAGCTTCTATTTAGTATTTTAGTTTCCCTCAGTTACATGTAAAAACAATTTTTAACATTAGTTTTTTAAACTTTGAGTTCCAAATTATCTCCCTTCCTCCTTCCCTCTCCTTCCCCCTCCATTGAGAAGGCAAGCAATTTGATATAGGTTATACATGTGTGTTCATGCAAATATTCATGCAAAAATGTTAGTCATGGTGTGAAAAAAAAACATAGACAAGGAAAAAACTCAAGAAAAATAAAGAAAGTTTAAACAAAAGTATGCTTCAATCTGCATTCAGACACCATCAGTTCTTTCTCTAGGGATTGATAGTATTTTTCATCCTAAGTATTTCAGAGTTGTCTTGGATTGTTGTATTGCTGAGTCATTCACGGCTGATCATCTTACAATATTGCTGTTACTTCATACACAATACATTTCCCTTTGCATCCGCTCATGCAAGTCTTTCCAGCTTTTTCTGAGAGCATCCTGCTCCATTATTTCATATAGTACAATAGTATTCCATCATAATCACATACCACAACTTGTTCAGCCATTCCTCAATTGATGGGCATCCCCTTAACTTCTAATTCTTCACCCCCAGAAAAAGAGATGCTATAAATATTTTTGTACATATAGGTCCTTTTCCTTTTTGTTTTTTTACCTCTTTTGGAATACAGACCTAGTAGTGGTATTGTTGGTTCAAAGGTTCTGCATGGTTTTTATAGCTTTTTGGGTATGGTTCCAAATTGTTCTACAGAATGGTTGAATCAGTTCACAACTCCACCAACAGTGCATTAAAGTTTTATTTTTCCATGTTCTTTCCCATTGTTTTTAATAGCTTAACTTGGAAATATCATTGTGATTGGCCAAATGGCAACATTGTCCATCATTTATTGTGCCTTGGAGTGTGCTTGACCCAGATGACAGGAAATGTCATTGATTGGCAGAATCTCTGAAGTTAGAGTTGAAAGAGACTTTGAAAGGCTTTTTGTCTAAGTCTCTTTGAAAATCAAGAGACTTGAGGTGCAGAAGGTGTTAATAAGGGACACTCTTTTGATTCCCAAGGTCAGGGCTTTGTCCTATACCTGTAGGACACTTTGTCAGATTACTGTCCCTCTTTTGGTAGGAGACAGGTTAGCACAAGAATTATTCTTAGATGAATTCGTTGTGTTGGTATTTTTAATACTTTATTAACTTTCATATGAAGTAAAACTTACTTGAATCCAAGGTATTAAATTTTACTTAATATTCATCAGATGTGAGAGAAGAAGGTATGTGTAAGCTTGTTAATTTTTCATTTAGGACATCTTCTCTCCTTTGTTTCCTGCCTGCATCTGCATCCTTTATCTTCAGTGGCTCATTTTACAAATAGAAAATGCTGGTAATTTGAAACTAGTTGGTGCACTTTTAATCACCAAAAGTTTTTTTTAAGTGGTTTTAATTCTTTTATAGTCCAGAAAATAGGATGGGAGAAGATAGGTGGTTCTAATGGAAGTGGAGATAAAAATGTAGTAAATAGAAGCTAGCAAGAGGAGACCATTCCAGGAGATAAAAGTATTAGAGTATAGGAATATGTTTAGTGCCTGAAATTTAATTAAAAACCCCTTAAGGGTAATGTACAATATACAAGGAGGCCTTTTCTCTAAATCTTAATGCTTGGTTGCATTTCTAAGAAGTAGGACTCACTGATAG